CATAACGAATTGTTAAGAGGAATTAACCCCGATTTTTATTGCCCCAAATATTCTGAACTTAAAAAATGGCATTCAAATTTTAACTTTAAAGATATCGTATTCCCATCTGTTACGTTGGAAGAAAATAAAATTTTGGCCCAACTAGCACAGACTCCTCAGGAGAGCAATGCAGATGACTTTATTGTTATCCAGGACAGCCCCATAAAATGTGCTACCAACGATTTTAGGAAAAATGGAACCTTTGTAAAAGATATGCTAAAGGAGAAAACAAGGACTCCTTTGGGAAGAAACAGAAGAAAATCAACCATCCTCGGTGGGGGAAGTCCATTCGCTAGCTCCTTTAATCATAATAACAACGTGGCGGACTCTCCAAGGAAAAAGGAAACAAATAACATGAAACAGATAAGGGAAGAAGCAAACAGGAAAACTATCATAAAAGAAATTAAAACAGAATTTGATAAAGAACACGAAACGGTATTGAATGAAAAAAAAAAATTTGAAGATGCAACATGGATTGCAGAGATTATCCACGACACATTTATAGTCGAAGGAATCCAAACAGTGATAGAAATCAACACCTTCTCCAAGAAAGTTGCAGATAAATATAAAACGAATAAAGGTTTCCAAATGGATGAGGCCAAAATAGCACAGCTTATAGAAATGCTACCACAGTACGTCTCCGACATTAACTTAAAGCCTAGTATGATGGATAGAAATAAAATGACCTTGTCCGTCAAATGTAAGAAAAATCTCGGAACCTTCCTGGAGCCACTTACCAACAAAATTAACGACCTTTCTCGCAAATACCAAGATTTGAAAAAGAATAAGGAAAAGAGATTAAACGAGTTATGGAAACAGCACAACGTAGGTTTTGAGCTCAACGAGAAGATTAAGAAGTTCTTTTTAAATCCCAGTTCGGTGTGCTTCTCGGAAATTTAAGATGCTGTCTCGGTGCTTTCACTTGCGTCATCTGCGCGCACCGCCTTCCCTGTTTTTTTCCCCCTTCCTCGTTGTCTGTTCCGCCCGCCCTGTCTCCTTTCCCCATCCTCGTTGTGCGCGTCTCACTCCGGATGCCCCTTCTGACTGTTCAATTTTTTGTAACACCCGCACGGATTAGATCTGCACGCGTGCGTAAGTATATATATATATATTCATATATTTATATATAGTATGCACTCCTGCAAAGACGCTCGTTTTTCCACGCGGCGAGTGTACTTACGAGTGCTCCCAGCGCCCCAGCCATGATTAACACCCCCTAATGTATGTTTAATCCGTGTAGCATACTCAAATGTGTGCACAAAAAGTGAAGCACTGTAAATTTTTTTTCGGCTTTTTTTTTTTTTTTTTTGCAATCACCACCACTTATCATTTTCATAACGCTAAATGTAGTAATATTTGTGCAGAACTTATATGTTACATCATAGCTGTTTGTTTACGTGCGTGCCGCGCACCAGCGCATACGTCATCATTTCATTCGTACCCCTTCATGTGTACGCTAATCTGTGTACCCGAACGGGACAATTTTTTGGAAGATGTCCTTCTCGCGATTCACCCCATTATACGGTCTTGCGCTTTTGCGCAACTCGTAGTTTTCCCATTTTTCTCCTTTTCTTGTGTATTCCCCAACATACCCTTCGCGTACATCCGTTTGAAGGAAACCCGTTTAAGCTACAAATATACGTTGCATAACCGATGTATCCACGTATCCCCCCCGTTCGGTTATTACCACCTTGCGATGCAGTATAATTTTGCCCTACGCGAGTGTCACAAGTTGAGAGGACAGCGAACGAATAGAACAAATCGAACTAATCGAAATCATCTAAGCAGGGACATGCCTGAATGTACGTAGGTGCAAATATACGCATGCTTCTGCACATGGGCCCGTTTCTACGGCAGATTTGTGTGGCTTGCATGTCTTTCCCATCTTTTTAGTGCACATTTATGTTTCATGTAAATGTGCCCCCTGTTTCCGACATCCGCAAGGTGGGAGGTTATACCTCTAGCACAAAGTTAGCAGCAGAGTTTAAAGCATTTATGCTGTGTCGCACGGGGATGTGAGCTCGTATACTCACATATGTACGCACCTATATACATGGAAATGCTCTCCCGTACGCATCAGTTCCCCAGAGTACACATCACTAACCTCTATGTGCAGCGTTGATAATTTTTTTTTCTTTTCCTTACTCCTCACTCCTGTCCTTCCTCCTTTCATTCCTTTTTTTTTCCATGCGTAAAATGCAATTCAGGAAATATTTTCCCCTTTTTTTGTTTGTAAGCACAATGTAAAACAAAATATACATTTTTATAAATATAAATATACATCTACAGATATATATTTACATATGCATATGTGTCGGTGCAACAGAGAAAAACATATTTGCACTGATCTGTTTTCTCCCCGTCTGTTGTTTCAAGAATTGTTTTATTTTTATGTTATTTTCTTTTCTTTTTCTTTTTTTTATTTTTTTTCCCCTATGACTAGACAAAATGTGCTTCCCCCCAATGTGACAACTTTTATTTACAACGAACTGGTTCAAAAGCACCTTTTATTTAGTAGCCGTTTTTCTTTCTTTTTTTTGCTTACCTTTTGAAGTGCCAGAATGTACCAAACAACTAAAACTGCACTGCACAAAATTGTGTGTACAGCGAATATGTCTACGCGGAAAAATCGCGGCCAATTCTTTCCACTCCCGTCCATTCTTTCCCTTTTGTCCTCATAAGAATAACAAAAATGTAATCTTTTACAAAATTGATGTTCGTTTAACTTTGTCCAAAAAAAAAACACATTCAGAATGTGCAAACATATGGGTTGGAAGAATGCAGTGCATTTTCCTTAAAAACATGAATTAAAAATGTTTTAAAATGATAACACAAACAAGAGGAGTCATAGGGGCCAATCTGCCAGTGCCTGGGGCGAAACCATGATCATTTAAAAACAAACAAGTGAGTGCATGTGTGCAGGAGGTACAACGGTATGTATACATGTAATGGTATGCTCATGTATAAATTGCACCCACAGATTGGACGCACAGATTGCTTATGTGCACAGCCTTATGCGCGTGCTTACGCACATGATCAGTACCACCCCAACACAAACACTGCACGCACTTTTTAGCAAAATTTTGAACAAACATGCAAATGCGGGGAGTACGCTCTGCAGGCGGAAACGGCAGAAGCGCAGAGTTTAATTAATTTTAATTAGGTACACGTAGAAAGGCGGGAGAAGCCAAGCGGTAGTACAAATGAGGCAAATATGGGCAACCGTTAAGCCTATTTTTTTTTTTTTCGCCTATGGCGCTGCAATCTCCTTCTGTACGCGCGTCGAACGGGAGAAGCCATCCTCTTCTTCCCTGCTCCCACTTTGGTTGCTTTTCTCACAGTGGGGAAAATAACAGATTTCGGCGGTGGAACTAATTAGAAGGCTTCCTACACTTCCGTTGCATCGAAACTATGAGCCTTCCAGAACATGGTGTAAAAGTTTGCAAGTCGTACGAAATGAGAAAAAAATCGTCATGCTTTAGTATGGCAATTTCTTCTTCCAAATTATCCAACTGCACTGGTAGGAGAAACACCAACATGCCGTTATCGACCAGCGTAATGGAAGCAATGTTTAGCAAGTCTCTCACGGCTGCGGTGCAGCTGTATGTGACCGTTTTGGTAGTCATTAAAGATTTTACTCTTTTACGGTCCACACTGTCACATTGGGGAGAGGATCCGGGTTCGTCCTTATCACTAAAGTGGCACCTTTGGCTATTATCTGCGCTTTTGTTGCTACCGCTGCTATCGTCGCTATCGGTGTTATCCCCGCCGGGGAGGGGAACCCCATTCTCGGGTGCCTTCCCGTTGCTAGAGCCCCCCGCGTGGGCATTCCTCAGGCATATGCGGACGGTGGCCCTGTTTCCATACGGTGGATCCGTAACGATGGCATCAACCCAGGGTTTGTGAAAGGCATTCCAAACGGGTTTGGAATTATCAGACACGAGAATCTCCGGAAGGCTCAAATCATAATGCAAAAAATTCTCGAAAATATTTTTATTCCTACTTTTATGTTGCATATGAGGGTTCAGGTAGGCTATTTTATATCCCTTGAGTAGCCTTATGTCTATGTCATTGCCTACACATATAGCGTTAAAAATGGAGGACGTGATTAGTAGCCCCCCCGACCCAACGAAGGGATCCAAAACAATATGTCCTGCCTTAATTTTCGCAATATTGCACATCAGGAATGCTAACTCGTTGTCCGTTGTTGTGGGGCCCAAAACGGGTCTCTTATTTAGAGAGTAATGTATCCACCATGCTAGTTGCGTCTTTTTGGTTCTTACATCGTTTATCATGTGACCTTCGTCGTTTCTTCTATACACTAAAGTTCTGTTGTTCTTTCGTAGGGCCATGGACTTCCCAAAAAATATTTTTTTTAAAATTCCCATATTATTTTGGTCATACTCTTCTAGAAGGCCTAACTCTACTTCTGGGGACGACAAATCCACTTTAGGATACTTGTCAAGTATGACTTTAAAATGTTCCATCTTTTTTACTTTATCATTTTGGCTGACTATTTTCCCAAATGAGTTAAAATGAAAACGCCACTTTTTATCCTCCAAATGGCTAGAAAATAAATGCTCCTTCGATAGCAAGTCGTTTAATACGTCATCGTATGTTGGCCCTTCACTCCAAATTTGTATAATACCTTTTATTAAAACGCTTCTAGAAATTACACTCTTCCAATCTATATCTTCTGGGAGGGTTACCTTAACAAACACTTCACCCTTGTGCTTGTTCGTGTGATTGAGCAATGCTTTTCCCTCATCCTTGTATCCGAATATATGCAGCAGAGATTTTAATTCCGTGATTTTGCATTCATCATACTTGTTGTGGCTACTGAACCATATGAGATGCAACATGGTGAGCTCTTTGGAAGGGATGAGGTTTCTTTGGGGGTGGCGCGACAGGCGGCTGGCACAAGCAGATCATGTTCCGCTCTTCTCGCCGGGTGAAGCGGCCGAATTGTAATTGACGCAGAGAGGCACGGCGAACGGCAAACAAACAAAAAAAGAAAGAAACAAACAGGCCAATATGCGCACAGGCGAGCTGTACAAACTGAACTGTCAAACAGATTTTAAATTAACCAAACTGCAAAAAAAAGAAAAAAGGCAACTAATTAATTCGGCAAAAGGAGGGTTGCAAAGCGTGAGATAGGAACGTACGTTTGGAATCATTGCGGCGAGAGCATACTCTAAAGGGAAGATTTCAATTAAAAGGGGAAAACAAGAGCAGGGGGACGGCAGGAACGATCAAAACGAATCCGTTGCATAAGCTGCGCGGGCGAACGCAGTGTTGCTGCCACTACCCTCACGCGCAGAGTTGTCATCCTCTAAAATTTGAATGTATACATGCGTAATTTTTCATTACACCCGGTGAAAAAAAAAAAGAAAAAATTCCCACGGTGCAAAGCCTCCCTGCTGCTGGCGATATGAGGGTCTCAATAAGCAGCTTCCCAATTTAGCGCTACATGTATGCTTATACGTATGTATACATTCGTATGTAAATATATACATACATATATATATATACATACATGTTAACCTTCCCGTGTGCTTGCGCTCCAATGTACGGGCTTAAGCGCATTCCAACGCGTGCACGCCCTCTGTGATCAGCCAATGCACGTACCATGTATACACGCCCATTGTCCAGTGCCTCTTACTCCTCGCATGTGCATATGAAGAAGTCTCTCTCGACATGGTGGCAATTTTTAATTTCGCACATATATCATTTGCCGCTTAAGCACTTGCGAATTATTTAGCGTTAGCCTTTTTTTTTTTTTTTTTAAAAAATAAAATTTTATTTCTTCTTACTTCTTTGTGTTGCTTCTTTTCCGGTTTTTAATATTTTTCGTTTCCTTTTTTTCGTTAACCCAGAGGATGCGATAAAATAATGCACACATGCATTTTGATTAAAAAAATAAAGAAAAAGCATGAGTAAATGACAAGGTTTAAAATGTAATGTGAAATTCTGGGGTGAATGGGGTCGGGGGGAGCCCTATGCTTGTTTTTGCCAACCATGACGAAACAAGAGCGCGTGCCCATCATGTATGCTTGCTCGTTGCGCCGATTGTGTTCACCTGCCTGTTACACCGACTGTGTTCACTTGCCTGTTACGCCGATTTTGTCCACCTTCCCGTTATGCCCTTATGCTCGCCTGATTATTTTACCCAAAAATGTACACCATTGTATGTGTACATAACAAGCATTCCCATCCGTACACGGGCGCCAAAAAAATATATCTTTGCTCTCAAGCCTTAAACCCGCTTAACACATTGGAACTCAATAAGCGAAAAAATAAATTCTGATTATTTTTACGAACGCACAAAATTTATGCGTCACTGTTAGATTAAATTAAATGCCCATTATCGAGAGAGCGCATGATGATGACACAAAGGAAAACAATGCTCGCGAATGCCGCTTAACCCATTACTCGTTTTTGCCTGTACGTACATACACGAACGCCAAGTTCGCCAATGGTTAACCACACGAATGCTCAACACTTCAGTGAGTCAGCACACGAAGGGGCAACTGAGCGAGTGTCCACTTTCTTAAAGGTGCAATTGATCGTCTGATTTACACCCGTTGAGATTTCCCCACCGAGTGTTCATTCCGCCGAGTCTTCTCTCCACCGGGTGTTCCTTCCACGGAGTACACACGGAGCTGCCTTCACGAATGTCCCCCCGCCCATGCATAGCACTGTGAAGCCACCATGAGAAAGGAAACAATTTATGTGCACATGGTACCATGAACAAGTGGACATCTGTGGTCGTACTCGCATTTCATTTCCGTAAAATATAAACAAGGGGCGCTGTTACATATTTGCCTCTAAAAAATTACCGCGTAAAGTTGGTGAAGCAAATGATGCCACCTACGTCTCTCGATTGGAAGCGCCTGTACATAACTGCATGCTACACGAGTACATACACACACGTGTTTGCATTTCCCTTCCTCTGCTTCCTATATTTTGTGGCATAGTCGCCCTACCTCCTTAGGACTATTTTTTTTTGTTTGTCCAATGATAATATAATAAAATTTGGCCATTGTTTATGTACACTTCCATAATTAACATTGTTTTTTTTTCGCATTTTAACAATATTTATATTTAGGGACCTCACCTCCCCACGAGATATTGTAATGTCAAGTAACGTAATGTGCTGTTTTTAATTACACTGTTTAATTCGTATGCACAGTTTTCTACTCATTCGCTGACCGACCCCTTATCTTCTTCCCTTTTTCTTTTTTCTTTTTTTTTTTTTGTTCACATGTCGTATTTTGCTACTTGGCATATTTGAAACCACATTTTTTTTTAAAACTTGGATACTTCAGCGTACTTACGCAAACGCTGCATCGAGCGAGGTGTTACGTATGCGCGTATGTACTTGGCATTTCGAATGCATTCTTCTCCCCTCATCATAACCACCACCACCTCCATGTGTACATCCGTGCGCCCGTGCACAGTTTGGCGTATACATTTCTGTAAAGATTCTTGGAAGCATTTAAGTGTATGCACGGTGTGTTCCCATAAAACGCCAGTCACGAACATGTCCCATCGCAAGCACAGCTAAATGCGCATATGTGTATGTACATTCACGTTCATTCGCTCGTATACCCTTACACACGTCAGTAAGTACGAACTTGCATACGAATACGCCCCCCCCACACCTCTGCACATTTGTGTACACCCGTGCGAATGCATCCCCACGAGTGTTTAATCGATAACGTACATACATTTTGGAGGCGTATTCTGATGCAAACGTCGCTTAGGTGATTACACGAATTCGTGCGCGTCCCTATTCATTCGAATACGTATGTGTATTCCAGTGCATACTTTGCGACTCGTGTGTTTTTACGGGAAGGCATATAGCACTTCTCTGTTTATGTGCAAGCATACGGGCACTTTTCTGCCGGATGTGTATCTTCAAGTGTATGTGAAACTATATCCACCCGTGTGTGTATTCAAATTCAAATGCATTCGGATGCCTAAGGAAATAATACGCTGTACATGTGTGCCCCCCCCAAGTTAAGTGCTGAAAATGCCTGCACCATGCTGAAGGAGGTATGTATGCACTTATAATTTTATTGTCTTGCTAAGCACGAAAAGGAAAAATTGATCAGCAAAAGGGAGCAGGAAAAGTCAAGAGGCAGAGGCCATATATAAAAAAAAAAAAAAATAGAAAAATCGACGAGGACGAAAAAACCAATCAGGTCAACAAAACAATTGCATATCATTTGTGCTCTTTTTTTTTCTTCTTTTTTTTGCTGAAAATGATGAAATGAAAAAATATATACATCACATGACAGTTATTTAAATTTGCACCCTTTTAACTTGTACATATGTATGCACTTCTGTACTGTGCATATTTGTATTTATGTATGAATGAATTATGTTCCCCTGCCTCCCTTTTTTTTTAAGATATATTTTTTCCAATAATCAGAAATGTGTACATGGACGAATTGAAAATGTTATCATATTTGTTGTTTTAAATTGTGATTTCTCCCTTTTGTCCAAACGATTAGATGTTGCTCTGCCCCTTTATTTCTTTGTACCCTTGACGTGTGCTTGTCATGTGTCATTCGTACATATATCAACCGTGCCCCTTCCGTACGTTTTGCATCCAGTTTGGATCCTCCCTCTGCTTTCCATTCAATAATTTTTCATTTTAAAATTTGACGCTGCATTGCTTTGCCCATTCATCCCCATCCTTTTAGTTTATGTCAACTCGCGCAAAGAAGCAGTAAGGCATTTTTTTCAAATTGCATATCATTTATTCCCCTAGCGTGTACTTGATCTCATTGGAACAATTAAAGGTTACATTCCCCTGCTCTGCAAAGTTATATGCCAATATTATACGTTTTGAGAGAGCATCCAAGGGAATCTCCTCACGAGGGGTAAGCAAATGCGTTCATTCGTACGTACGTGAGGGAGAGTGCGACCGTGTGCGCGAGTGGTACGGCAAGCGACACGATAAGGGGGACACCATTTGCTACGCCAGCGTGTGTGCCGAAGTGTAAACCAAAAGTTAGGCCAAGTGCCACGTCAAGTGACGCGCCAAGTCGTGTACCCACCCGCACATGCTCACACACGCGTGTTTTTTCCTCTTTCCTGTATGTGTAATTTTTAATTTAAGGGAAAAACGCAATTAAAAGGGAAAACAATAAAAAAAAAAAAAAAAAGAATGTATGTAAAAGGAAAAAATTAAAAAAAAAAAAAAAAAAGAATGTACATGTG